CTGATGACGGAGGCAGTATGACCTCTGAAACGTTGGTAAACATCGACCAGACTACACAGCGCAACAACCCAGAAGACAGAAATCTTCATACTCACCGCTGTGAAAACCTCAGATCTTACATAATTCATTACTTATTAAAACCATACTTTACAAGCCAAACTCCCACCCACTACTTGTTGTGTGACTGGCAGTTCCATCCATATTTCATTCATTATTTGCTACAGCACACTGGTTGCATTTTATTGTTGATTTATGAATTTACATCATGATTTCTATTAATTCCACCAGAGGCTCAAATTTGTTTTTGTTTCTTCCCCCATCAGACGTTCAACACCAGTGGCTCCCATTACAAGTCTGCAGCCTCCACCTGCACATCAACAAAGTCCACGTATCTTATCAATGCCATTTGATCTGAAATATCACTCATCACCAAAGAATTTGGGGCCAACCATGATCCCAGGAACATCTAGCACCCTGACACCTATAGATCTGTCATCAGGTCTTCCGAAGGTGAACACACCTGAGATCCCCAAGAACAAAGAGATGATAAATGAGGCGCAGGACTTCTCAATGCCCTCAAAAAATAAACAGAAAAGTAAACTTGATGAAATGCTTGGAAAACTTATGAAGAAAAACAATTGTGTGAGTACCTGTTGACCTTCTTTTTCATTTTCTTGTTTTGTTTCATGTACATATGTACATGAGAGGTATTTCAGGTTGCTTAGAAACATATTTTCATTGATATATCAGATAATATCTCATAATTACTATTTATAATATTGTCTTGCTATGTGTGTAAAATTATTAAGTTGCACAAAACATATTTTTCAGCCAGCAGAAGAGCCAGTTGTTGGCAAAGAAAAGAAGCGGCGCAAATTGGATGAGATAGTGTTGGGTCTGTCAGCTGCAAAGGAGCAGAAAACATTGTTCTCAGACTTGAAAAAGTCTGGTACATCAGGAATGATCAGCCCCAGTGTAACAGTTACTCCCACCTCAGTCAGTTCCACCCTTGGGGGTCCCCCAGTATCATCCTCTTCATCCCCAGCCCCCAAACCTTTCACCATTACTGTAACATCCGTCCCATCTCCCGCAGCCCCAGGATCATCACGAAACACTATTGGAGTTGATATGGGTGTGCTTCCTCAAATTCCAACTCAAAAAGAAAGTTTCTCCTCCTTCCTTGCCCATGCAGAACAACAGAAAAAAAAAACAGCAACAACAGCAACAGGCATCGTCCCTGTCTCAATCGTCACAAGTACAGAGGAAGACTTATGAGTCGATGATTGCTGACCTGAGCAAGGTGACCGATTTTTCATCAAAGATTAGTTCCTATTCTCATGAAGCTAAGGTATGTTTGTGTCAGTTATGTATTTAACTTCACATCTAAGTAGTTTTTGAAGTTCTTGCATGTGTGCACTTATTCCACATGCTGCGACACACTTGACAAAATTAGGTTCTGGACTTCTGTCTTCAAATCAAGACTCAAAAGAAAGGATTGATATCATTAGACACAGTGTATACAACTGCAACATTTGATCTTTAATAGATTCAGCCTATTGAAGAAAATTTTATAATACAATATGTATGGTTATGTGATGGCTTGATTTGTAATTTCTGGGTAGTACTGTATTTATCAAAAGTGATTTAACATTGTGGCAGTTCCAACAGCACATTTCAGAAGCATGTAATTGGAATAAAATTGTAAGGATTATTGGTCCAAAATGATTACATTGAACTTTTGATTATATGCTTGCAGCTTATCTGGTTTGCAGATTATCCGTAAGAGGATTTTTGTACTTGCTAGTTTCTTTGTCAGGGGAACCTTCCATATCATGTTCTATATCTGGAAGAAGTTTCCTCCACAGTTGAACCTGCTTCCTAGATTTGTGGAGGACCATACTTGAGATACAACATACATAATATCCAACATCGTTATCCCCCCCCCATAATCCTGTTGTCTTGATCAGCAGTTCTGAGAAGGTCAGCCTGGTAGTTATTTCATGGCTGCAATCACTCAGTCCCTATCCATTAATCCTTGGCTAATGTTGCTGATTCTCAGTTCTCAACATCTTCAATTAATTGCAGCTTTTGTTTTGCTGTCAAGCATAAAAAGATGCTGAAACCTAGTTGACATATGTCTGTATTTATGTATAGAAATAGAATTTGTGCATGGAGTGTGGTGTGAGAAGTTTTGAAAACATTAACAGAGAAACATTGTCAGTAGTACCCTTTAACAGAAAGAAGAACATGAGGGTGGGAGGATGAGAGTGAAATTTGTACAACCGTGCAGAGAAGTGTAAACAATTCACAAAAACAAGTGATCATTACAAACCATTTATAAAAAAAAGTCAGTTTTTATTGTACTCAAATTAAATCTGTTGTATTCAGGCCTGTAATTTTGTCTTTGCTTTGTTTATTAGGATTTTTTATTACTACTGCTCATTTATTAAGGATTTACATACTTCATCATTTTCTTTGTGTATCATTCTTCCCCATGCTACCATCAGGATTTGGGCAAATGTAACAGTGGTTATAAAAGAAATGTTTAACAGAGAATGTTGTTTGGAACAAACTTCATCTTTTGTTAGTGCATGTATGTAGCCAGAAGTAAAAACTAGATACTTTAAAAGAATTAGAGGGAATGTCATAGGATTGTATATATGTACAGTACGCTGCACGTGTTATATTTAGGTGAACAAGTGGTTGGCAGAACAAACAGCCCTGATGCCTGAACAGCCACTAACATCAGATTACTTAGCCCCAAGGCGTCGACGACCAAGGGTGGACCCATCTCTTTTAGACTGGAAGAAATTGACAGGAGAGGAAAATGTTTCTGTTATCAACAGATTAACTGGGAAGAAGGTACATAAAAGCATGCAGCAATTTTTTTGCCAGAATGAAGGAAGCTTGATTTGGTGTTTAATGTGTAGTTGATGAACTGTGTATTTATAATATTTTGTACTACCTGCAGATTACTGGAAGCAAGGCCCCACAGCTTAAGAAACTTGCACAATGGTTATTGGAGAACCCAATGTTTGATGTTGATCCAAAATGGGCTGAGCTTGTAAAGGAAAGAGGCAACCTCCCTCATGACCTACAGAAGCGGTTGCCACCCAATGAGAGAAAGAAAGGACCTGGTCGCCCTCCCCTTCTCTCAAGCCCACCTGGCCAGCAGTCTTCTGTAAATCAAGCAACATCACTTGCATCAACCTTGCCATTCCCCTCACTGACATCAGCTGGACTCAGTGGTCTGTCAGCTGCAGGACTGAATCCTAGCAGCCTTCTGTCAGGATTGTCTCTTGGAGGATTTGACCCTAAGAATAATCCCTTGCTGCTTCCATTTGGAGGAATGCCAAACATGAGTGCCCTGGGCAGTATGAGTGGGCTTGGAAATTTGGGGAACATGAGTCTTACTAGTTCCCTTTTTGCCAACTTGGCAGGTCTTGGATTACCATCACTGGCAGGAATGGATGGAAGTGAACTGGGAAGTTCTGGTCCTAGTACCTCCGGAACAGGAAAAACGAAAACACGCAAACCTGCAGATTCTGAACGTGGACACAGCAGTTCAAAACCTCCAGTGTCATCTTCCTCATCAAGTATCCCGTCATCAGCTCTCCCATTTTTTTTCCCTAATCCTGGTCTTTTGTACACACCTCTTGGCTTAGGTGGACTGAATCCATTTTCAATGCAACCAGGCTCTATGTCTTCTGCTTATGATAGTCTTGCCCAGCAATGTGGATTGCTGAATGGCAGCCTTGGAGTTGGTGCAACATCTACAGCTCCACTGCAGTCTTCATCTTCACGAACTGGACACAAGTCAGGAAGCAGTTCCCGACCATCGACAATGACATCATCATCATCTACAGCAGCAAATCACAGGCATCAGCGAGCAGCTACTAGAGATGCACTTGACAGACAGCAACAGCAGCAGTTGCAGCAGTTACTACTCCCACATGACACCCACCTGCTGGAAAGCCTCAGTAGAGCTTCAACCATGGAGGCAGCTCTACGCAATGAAAAGTGGGTGAGAGAGACAGACAGAAAAGAAACAATTGAGAAGCGGGCAAGAGATGGAGAAAGAAAGGAGTCATTTGAGAATTTAAGTAGGAGTTCAGTCACAGATTTTGCTGCTCGATCTGAAGATAGGCAAGTAAAGAAGTTTAAAGAGAGTGAAAGAAAGGAAAGTGCAGAGAATCTCACTCGTAATTTCATGCCAGAATCTTCAGCTCGCAGTGAAGAATGGTTGTCGAGGAAAACAAAAGAATCAGAAATGAAGGAAGCTTTAGAAAATTTGTGCAAGACTTCTTCTGAATTTCTAGCTCGTAGCACAGAAGAAAAGTCTGGTAAGCGTACAAGAGATGCAGCAGAAAACATAATGAAAACTTCATCTAGTGTTCCTTCAGGTGATGAACGACCTGCCAAAAGGGCAAGGGAATCAGAACGGAAAGAAGTTGCTGAAGAAAAGAATAGTTGCATGGCATTAGTTACAGATCGAAGTGTTGATTGTGCTGCTGTGGACATTGAAGCTCTTTTGACTTCCTCCACAGTGTCCAAGGATGGAGCTACTGTTTCAGTTGTAACACCTTCAGAGGAGGTAGTGGCCCCAGAAAACTCAATGCTGCCTCCTGTTTCAACAGAAAAGAATTCTGTGATAATGTCTAAAGTTGCAGAAGACAAGTCACTCACAACAGAAGGTATTGAAATTGAAGCTTCACAACAAACCACATTATCAGCACAAGCCATCCTGTCTCTTCCACCATCATCCCCCCAGCCAGAATCTTTCCCACAGTCTTTATCTTCTCCTGCACCAATATTGCCAGAGGTGCCTGATCCACAAGAATCTGAGCCTAGCAGCAGTGGAGGGAGGGCAACCAGGTCAGGAGCAGGACGACGGGCAAGGAGCAACAAGCGATCGAAACAGGCAGTGGCTAAATTGGAGGAGCCAGAGGCACCCGTGGTAGAACGCAAGGTTCTGCGAAGTAGTGCAGGAAGAGCAGCAGCTGCAGCAGC